GGATGTGGCCCTCAATTTCCTACAGATGGAGGAAGGGAATTTGAGCTGATCTTATCAAAGCCACAAAGGGCAGGCTGGCCCAGCTCTATCTGGGTAACACCTGCATATAGAAAGTGCCCAGGGAGGGATGGGTCAGGGACAGGGATGGACAATGACGAGGAAATGCTTAAGTACATGAAGGAAAATACTGGAATAGAAATACCAAAATATTACATAGTGGGACTATGATTATTTCTCTCTTTTCTAGTTTTCCAGTTTTTCCAGTATTCTTATAATGAGAATATATTAACTATATGATTTTAGAAGCATTAAACTAAACCATTGTAAATGGTAATTTCCAAATGCTGTTTCTTCCTAAGCTGCAGTTCCCCTGTCCCATTCCTTCGTCACCACCCCACAGCAGTCGCAGTCATGGCTTCTCCAATGTGTGTTATGCATTAAACTGGCAGAGTCTTCCAGGCCTCACAGAGCAGCACTCAGCACGCTCAGCATGGGGCTTCAGGAATAAAGGTCCCCAGTGAGTAAATGCTTGAGGACTGACACATCTTTGTCAGTTGATGATATTATGATATTGTTTAAATTGTGGCATATTTGTGGCTGCAGGATATGGTTAATTGTTAAAAAGTTAATTGTTATTGCGGCAATAAGAGATAACTCTGTCTCCTCAAGGGAGACTAATGAGCTTGGGAAATTTCAGCAAGAACACATCAGACAGGAAGCGTATTTATCTCTATAGGACTTTGCATAACCAGCACAGTAAGTTCTCAGAGAGGTCCTGGGTTCCCGTTGGCACTCACAGAGAAGGGCGTAGTAAATTCTTTGCCTGATAGAAATAAGAACCAACAAACTCTCATGGCATAAACTCATTTTAATCCACTTCATTATTTTCTCTATTTTGTACTATTTGAATCTAACTTTTTTTCCTTTTACTTCTTTTTCTTTAATCCTTAACAGGTTTTGATTCGTGGAAAGATCACTCACTAACCTGCTTAGGCATCAGAATGCAAGAGGTTTTCTGTCTTCCTGGAGACACTTGCGTTACCCAGGACTGGCCGCCCGGTTCAGAGTCACAGCTGCCTCTCCTTCCACATTTGCAGAAGCTACATACAGAGCAGCTGAGCCCAATGGTTTCCAGACATAATTTTCTGTCCTTGGGGTTTGGTGAGAACTATGGGATTTATTTACTTGATATTGATTTTGCTTAAGATGAAAACCCCTAAGCCTGCAGAGATGGAGGCAGAAAAGAAGTGTGATTATCTTAAAATTATACAGAAAAGGAACAATGGAGTTTTCACAACTTCAGCTCCTGGTGAGGTTGAAGAAATTATAGCCCAGAGAAATTAAACTCACCCTTTAAATGCATAGAGGTCAGTGGCAAAGGCGGGACAAGGACCTGGGAAGCCTAGAAAAAAATCCTGGGGCTTCCCTGTGTCATGCAACCCTCCTGGCATTGCCCAAGAGCAGCTGTTCTCATTTATATCCCAAATGTGGGCACATTATAAACTGCACGAAAGAGGAAGGGAAACTAATGTCTCCACAATGAGGTCTGGGAATGGCAGAAGTACAATAAGATGGAGCGCCTCATGTAGGACCCTGGAATGTAACTACCTAGGAAAATGCCGTTAGGCAGGTGGGGGAGCAGAGTGGGGTGTAAAGCTAGTCTGTTTTTGGAAATGTGTATTTATCAGATAGTTGAGAGTAGTTTCAAATTTCGTGTGGAATACACTACTGATAATCACACTGATAACAGTGATAGTTTTAATATAAGGTTTTTGAAGGGCTTTGTATACTCTGTGTTCTGTATGATTCCATTTGTCTAAATACAGCCAAATTCTGTCCCTGTTGCTAGAAAAGGGAGCAGATGGAAACATCCAAACTTTGTCCCATCCAGCTGTCTGCTTGCTCAGCAAGGTGTCAATTTTCATTCATTTTAAGCATAAACTTTCCCCCCAAAGAAGGAAGATTCAACGGGGAGTTTAGGCAACACAACTAGTTAATAGTCAGAACCCACCAAAAATAATATAGGTGATGCATATAGCTTTTAGCACCAGAGTCCTGGCTGCTAGACCCATTCATCCTTCACCTGCACGGTAGTGCAGATGACCCACCTCTCTTTATTGGGGATAGACACAGATGGATGAGGGACTGCACCAGGAGGGACAGCCTGGCAGCACCACAGCCTTCCTTTCCCAAGTGTATCCATGTGGTGGGCCCCAGGTAAACATGCTCCCAGTGGCAACTCGCCCCGCCTCCCACCCAACTTCGTCTCTGTATCTGGCTTTGACACTTGCTTTGACCCATGGACTTTAACAAGTGTGGTGCAAACAGGCTTGCTAAACGCTTGCACACTGGAGAGTTCTTTCTTGGCACACACTCATGGAAGTCAGTCTCCATGCTGTAAAGAAACTCGGGCCAGATGCAGGCACAGGGAGAGGAACCCAGTGTTTCTTTAGGGCTCACACCCGTCAAGCTCCTAGCTGCATGTGACTTCAGCAGAACTGCCCAAGGAAGCCCAATCAACCCACAGGATGGCAAGAACAAACCAACAGCTGTTGTTTTAAGTCTCCACCAAGTGATGGGGTGGCTTGTTATAGAGAAATGGATCATTGAACTAGTACTTCCCCACTGGGGGTTGTATAAGCCCCCTCAGTGTATTCTATACAAGAGCAGAAAAGGAAAAGGGAAATCCAGGCTTAAAATACCCTCACTGAGTAATGGTTCTACCATTGACTCATGAAAAGTCCCTTACTTAGCAAATTAGTTTCTTTGCTTCTCTCCAATAAATAAGGATAATAGCAACTAATCCAATACATGCCCTCCATGGGTTGTGTGAGGTTAGAAGAAATGCTATATTTATTCATTTATATCACAACTTGATCAAGGGGAAATTTAGACAGGTTAAGGCAATAGGTGAAATATTTTTATACTTAATAAATAAATGTGGTTCACAAATTTCAGAAGTTACAATGTTTACTGAAATTATTTCTTCCCTTATAAACTTTCTCTGTTTCTTGGTCTCCTTTACCAACATTTTTATAAGAACATTTTTCATTGTTTTATCTAAACAATTGTTTACTTAATCAATAATTGGTCCTCTTCTACTTTTTACATTTTTTAAACAGAAACACTTGACTTTTAGCAGCACCTAATGAGTTTTGGGGATGATGGAGAGGTCAATAAGGTGACTGGTGATACAAGACACTGTCTAACTTTGGGTGAGCTCTCGGTCACATAAGGCCCAATTTTAAAAATGATTGAAGGTTGTCACAAAGACAATAACTACTCATATAATGACCTCACCCCCACTCTCATCCCTTAGATCCTGAAATAAAGTGAAAAGGAAGTAAATTGTGTAGATCAAATAAATGTGTTGGAAATCCACGTAATCAGGGACTGTGTCTGCTTTTAGATCATTCATGAGCAATAATAATAAACTGTGTGCATCCCTCCTAGTTTTGTGGTCTGGCCTGAGATTTTCTTCCAGAATGAAAATTGGGAACCCAGGAGGATCAGGGAGAAAGAAGGAGCATGAGGGAAGAGGATCTGAGTGGAGGGAGAAGCTTGGAGGTTCTGGGTGATTTTGTGTATGATTTTTCTGTATTTTTACCAATAAAACCTTTGATAAACAAATGAGTCAAGCCAAACTGTTTCCACTGTTATTGCTATGGTGGATGCCATTTTCGATGTGAAGATAAAAGCTCCTCATAAGTACCTCTTTAGACTAAAGATATAGTCTAAACCCACGGCGTGGGAGCTTGTGGTGGTCGGGCTTCCTGACTGCCACGGTGAGACAGTAGCTTTGGTATTTGGTCCTGAAGCACACGAGTGTCTCCCACTAACCACGTACAATGCTGGCACTTGTCTTATTGACTATCATCCTGCACCTGTCAAAGCGTGGTCAACACAAGTGTCCCCTCTGAAAGCTTGTGTGTCTAAGTTCTACTTGTGCTTTAGGTTTAAACAGTTCAAAGAAGTCTGCTTGGGTTATAAAACACATGTCCCTGCGGAAGCCTGACCCACGGTGACAACCACTGCAGGCCAAATGGATGCTACCACTTCCCCGGCTGTCTGATTGGCCAGAGATGCTAGGAATAGTCTTCGGAGCACTCTTCCCCATCTTGTACAAAACCAGCAAATACAAGAAATGTTCCCATTGTTATCTGTACTACATGTCTCCCCACTTCAAGCCAAATCCTAGTCGGGAGCCATTGTAGTAACATAGTATGGGAAAGCACTGTCGTGGGAAGGGCAAGGCAGCCCGTTGGGATGGTCACTGCATTGCCCCTGTGGGGAACTTCCTGAGGTGCCAACCATAATAAAGCTGCTGTGCTGCCTTGGAGAATAAGGAGAGATAGGAGGTGGATGTCTAATGATATCAAGATAAGACATGCCACCCATCTCACAATAGATGTTTTTGCCAATGGGACCAGAACTTTTCAAAGCCACTGACTGCTACCCTAGAAGCCCTCAGCCCCCTGAGGGTGGCCTGCCACATCTGTCCCTGATCAGTCAGCTAAGCCAGGGGAACCCTGCCAGCATTTGCCCCTCTATATCATCCCATGCCTGACCAAGCCTGCTGCTGCCTGCTGAGTGGTGCCCGCTCAGTGTGGCCATGAATTCAGGCAGGCTGTCTCATTCTTGGAATATGTGCACCAAAGTCCAGGAATAAGAGGGTGTAGGGTGCATTGGGGAGATCCAGGCAGGACAGGGGTAGGACTTTTGAGGCAGGCAGGAGGTAAAATCCACAGCCTGGAAATCTTTGCACAAAGGAATTTAGATTTTCTTTTTTAGGCCTGTGGTTCCTCAGCTGAGGACCACATCTCCTGGGGAGCTGTGGAGTGAGTGACAGGAGACAGGAGAATCTGCAGGAGCACCCAGGAATGCTTGCAGAAAAATGTCGCTCATGGATATATCCCTATTTTTCAATTGTATGTAGATGCTATGCGATTAACTTACTATCATTTGGAAGCATTACTGAACATAAAAGAAAATGAAAATCGTTTTTGAATTCACAGAGGCTTTTATTATTAAGTGTTATATCAATCGTTGTGAAAGTGCGATTGCAGGCAGCTTTTTCTCATTTTGTATTTTGGTAAAAATAGTAAAAGTACAATTACTGTCATGTGGGGTCTGCACTGTAAAATGTTTGGAAATCAATGCTATAGGCAATGGAGAACCCTTGGGCATTTATTGGAAGTGAAGAAGTAAAGTAGTTTAGAAGTTAAAAACAAACAAACAAAGAAACAAACACATTGGCCGGCTGGAGGAGGAGGCATGAGGGTGGCTGGAAAAAGATGAGGATGAGGTGTAGTTGAATTCATGCCATGCTGGGCATAAGTAGGAGAAGGACCTGAGGATAACACCCAACCACAGGACCTGGCGACCAATTCGATGTGAATGTGCAGGAAGGGAGTCTGGGCTGATGACAGATTTCTGGTCTGAACAAGTACACTGCTGCTCTGGTACATTCTGAGCATTCACTAAGGAAAAAAGCACACAGGGAGGGGCACGGAGTAGGCAAGTGTTGGGAAGCAATGAGCCAACCTTGGGAGATGACTGTGGTCACAGAAGAATGGCCCCAAAGATGTCTTTGGCCTATGCCTGTGACCATGCAGGCTGCTTGGCAAAGGTTGAAGATAGACTGGGATTTCTAATCTGCTGACCCTGAGTGGGGCCTTACCTTGGGCTCTGTGAGTAGGCCAGTATAATAATAAGGGTCCTTGGATGTGAAAGAGTCGGCGTCAGAGGGACACCCTCTGAGAAAGACTCAACCAGCCATTGCTGGCTCTGGGGGTGGAGATGAATCATGAACCAAGGAACGTGGGTGGGCTCTAGAGCAAGGAAGCAGACCCACCCCCACAGCCTCCAGAAAGGAACACAGCCCTGTCCTCACCTTGATTTTAGCCCAATGTCAACCACAAAACAAAATCAACTAGGTATTCCATATCACCAAAAGGGGATAAAGAAAGGACTGCAATGGGATACATGCAGACATTGCACTGGGAAAAGCCGGAGGAGGTACTTTACAGAGGGGACAAGGACAACCAGGAGGGATTGGTACAGTCAGCGGACTTGACTGTAGGGTGTCTGCAGTGACACAGAGTGACAGCTCCTCCCACAAGCCCTCCAGAGTTCTATCCAGGTTAAGGTCATAAATTTTATCACCCGTGAGACCTGTCTTACCTTATTCAGAACAATAAGGTAAGGAATTTTTGTTTTCAAGCACTCAGTTTATAGTGGTTTGTTTCAGCAGTGATAGGAAACTAGTAGAGCGAGTTAAGTTTTAAGTACCTGTGGGACTCAGGGGGAAGGAGGGGATGGTGGTGGCAAATGCAGGGAAATGTGATACTCAGCTCCAAAATGTGTCTTCATTTGGGTAAATGGTGGGCTCCCAGCCACATGGCTCTTTCATATGCAGACTGTGTCTCCAAGACTTGGTTTTCTTGTTAGGATTGCACATGATACGGGAGATAGAGGAAACTGGTTGGGTGACTCGGGCTAACGAGCAATGACTCTAAAAACGGCTTCAGAGTTACAAAACCAAGAGTATGCTAGTGTGAATCTGAAGCAAGAGGTTCTTGCCTGAAGAGAATCAAGACACAGCCCCGCTGAGGGCTGGGAAGCCCACACAGTGCTCACTTAGCTGCCTCGCACTGACTGCCCACCCACTCCATCCCCACCTGTCTGCTGACCCTGACTTCAGCAGTTGACCCAGCAGCTCGCACAGCAGCAACCATGTTCCACAGTCAGCCCATGGAAACTACTGGAGTAATTTACATGGTTTTGCTCTTATTTCATAAAAATGAGTGGAAATGAAAAAATGAGTCTGCTATTATCCATAAAAAGCAAATGCCCCATAAAATCTGATAGAGTTGAAAATGAAAGCCATTGGGGGCCAATCGTAAATTGATCAACTGGGTGTCCTGCTAGAAAATAAATGAACAACAGAACCTAGCTACAAGACCAATCAGCGTGGACATTTCCTGACGTTTACGATGAACCAACATGTTACAGTCATAACATCGGCCCACTGGGCAGGTATCAGGCTTATCCCCCTTATAGATCTGAAAGTGTAGGCACTGAGAGGTTAGTTAACAGGTTCAGTAGCTCAAGGAATCAAAACCAGTAAGAACAGAGCTGGGATTCAAATTCAAATAGCCTGACTCCGGAGCCCAGCCCCTTCTCCCCCTCCTTTCTGCGGCCACCATCCCCTCCCTGATGTCTTCTCCTGCTCTGCTCCCTGCATTGCTTCTGTCCTGTACACACTGGCCTTGGACATGCCAGACATTCCTCTGCCTCAGGCCCTTTGTACCTGATATTCCTTTAAAAAAACTTTTTTCTCACATACTTCTCATTCTCTCACCTCCTTCAGGTCATAGAAACATCTCCATGAAGCTCGTCCTGACCTCCTTAAAGGCACAGTGTGCTCTGTCAGTGTAGCCTGGGAAGGCCTGTCCTGGATATGGGTAGCAGGACTGGGGCTAAGCAAGGAGAAACTCTAAGTCCCTCTGGGCTAGGGTCAGGCTGTCCTGTGGAGATCAGTGAGAATACTTTGGGACCCAAGCAAATGGGTTCTAGTTGCTCTCTGCACAATGTTCCAGTGCAGTGAGCTGGAACATTCAATGGATGTGAAAAGTCATAGCCTGGTCTATCCTTTACTAGCTGACCAGGAGCACGGTCCACTCCCTTGAGGCTGGAGGGTGGAAACAGGATGACATCTGGCCCCTCAGACTGGTCTGTCCCCAGGACCACATTCCCTGGGGCTCTTGGTATAAGGGCTGCATCTGGGTGTCATGATGAGAAGACTGATGGCAAGAACCTGAGAAGTCATACACATCACATAGCATGTCCCTGTGCCCTTGGAGATGGGAACCCTGTGCCCTTGGAGACGGGAATCCTGTGCCCCGCTGCTCTGGAAAGCTGGTGGGACTCATGGCATCTCTGACTTTTACTCCCTTTCACCAGGACATTTATCCTTCATATGCAGATGCGTTCTCAATCAGGCCTCAAGTAGCCTGGTGAGAAAGGCTGTGCTGTCCACACATAAGGAAACTAAGGCTCAGGTCCAGTGACTTCTCTATCACACCACACACTCAGTACTTCTCTGAGCTTGGACTTCTGACCCCAAAGACAGTGATCCTTCCAACAAATGGGGACTCCAGCCCACCATCCATCACAGGTGGAAAGCCACCAAGCTCTTGTATCAGGTTGTGACCCCAAAATTCTCAAAACCCCATAGTGGATAAGCATTTAATGCTTGTTGGGGATGTATTCCCAAAATGCTTCTGGGGCCAGCCTGCTTCTCGATGTGGCAGAACTTTTATTCACTTCCAATGAAATTCTTTTGTAGAGAAGGCAAGTGCAGTTATAGTCATAGGTCAGAATTTATTTCATGCCACCTCATTTATGGCGTTTGCAAAAACAGCACTCTGCTGGCCCTCATTTACGCTTGGGAATAGCAAAGCACACTTGGTAAGGCACCAGGTTACAAGTCTGTGGAGAAGGCCTTGCCCGTGTGGGCTTGTGTAATTCCTGGGTGGTTTTTCTCAAGTCTGTCAAGCACAGAGAACATCATAAAAGGTTAATTCCACACACACGGAAAAGAGAGAAAACAGTTTTTGGAGTATATTGTATTTAAAAATTTTGACCAGCCTACACTGTAGGAGTAAGGCTAAAGTGGCATTTTCTAAAGCAGAACTCATAAAATCTTCTCTATTCCACGCTTCAAGTTTAACAATGTGTGAGCTTTGAAGTGTATCAACTCTAAAATATTTAAGTCAAGCACATACTTGTAAAAACTTTTCTGCCCAAATCTCTATTTTCACAAAGAAAAATGGAAGAAAACCTCAAGTACAATCGTACCTTTAGTATTGTATAAAATGCAGCAACGTATTAAAAACTATTTCTTGCACTTAAATGTCAGCCCTCTAGGTTTTTGGTGCTAATGTCCCAGGTTCTATCAATCTGGGTTAAAAACAAATCTATTGAGTAAAGCTCTCAGAATGGGATCACAGGTTTCCCACCAGTGGCCCAAAGGGCAGAGGGTGCCCAAGGTCCCTCCCAGGGGGACCAAGAGTGCCCCACGCGCTAACACATGCAAAAACCTTCTTTAAAGTTTTGTTTTCTTTCTTAAAAAGTAATTTGCATTGTACTCCATGACATTTGCTTAAATATAAAAATACTATTTGAAATTACTTCCCAGTTAAATAAGTCTTGCCCCACTCCCATCTCTGCACACGGGCAGGCGGGGCCCAGGCCAGGAAGCCGCTTCCCACAGAAGGTGAGCCAGGCACATAGGCTTGGGGCACATTCCATTAGGTCTGTTTGGGGGCATTTTCACAAATGAAGTCATTTTATTCACTCAGATTATAACGAAACAGGAAATTATGACTGATTTCAATTTCAATGTATTGAAAAATAAATAGTAAAGAGTCTACGTATTTTAGTTTTTAAGCCAAGAAATTAGTTAATTTTATTTACTAGCAGAAATCAAAGAAGACCCGAGCCTGAAGTATAACCTAATCTTTCACTTTCTCTATAGAAAACAGAAATTGGCTTTTTTCAAACATAAAGAGACAACACAAGACCCACAGAAAGATAAGTCCTCTAGCCACTGGCTCCACAGATTCCCCACTGAACCGATTTTGGTAAATGTGCTTCACCCAGTGCGAACTGGATGTCACAGTGCATCGGGCGACGTTTTGGCATCTCAAAGCACCATCACAGAGTAAGACTACTCTTCTGGTGTGGCAGTGGTGTTCTCCAGTTTAAGCCCTAAAACTGCCACCTTGAAGAACATGGTTTTCTAACTGCAGCTGAGTGAGGGAGCAGTGGTTCCCGCACTCAATTTGCTCCTGGATGGCCACAGCGGACACCATGGCCCATGACATGCAGTGTTGATCTTTGCTGCCAATCCCCTGAAAGACGCCTGTGGACTTAACTGGTTGTTTTCACAGATTTTAAAACAGGTTTTAAGAGATGTTCATGTTTTGTTTTAAGATGGTCTCAAAAATGTGTTCAGATATACTTAAAGTCATATCTAGGGTGTAAAAAAAAAAATCTGTTCAAACAAGTGTTAACAAAAAGAGGAAGCCACGCTTCCCTCACACCTGTTTTGGTGGCCATATGCTTTTCCCCGTTCACTGTTTAAAAGTCTGAATCAGCAGCAAATGCAGCCAAGTGCACACACACGTGTGTGTACAAGAAGTCTGTTTTGGCTGGCTTTGAAAAAGTACATTTTGTGCCCCACAAACGCTTGCTGCAGGCCTGTCGAGTACTCACACTCGGCAGATAACACAACTTTAAGTGTGGAAGCTTAGACAACTCAGACGGTGCTCCCAGGGCTCTAATTCCCAGGGGTCTGGTGCACGGGCGCTAACCGCAAACTTCACACTCTGATCTGAAGGTCAATCCGTAGAGAAAATGTAAGTGCCACAAGTGGACACTTGCACGACTGCGCAGTACCATGTTTACACAGTGTCAACACAACTGCCCCCAGAATGAGAAATCCCAACAAACAACTTTTCCTTTTTGGTCTACACAGTGTCAAAGGCTTAGAGTGATGTTTTTGTTGGTTTTTAAATCTTATGCAACCAGGTGTTAGTATATGACAAAAGTGACTGGGTTGAGGTTTTGTAGGCAGAAGTCTCTAATTTCTTTCTGATTTTTGCTCCTTAAAAAGAGAAAAAAAAGCACAGAGGTTGCAAGCTGAGTGCTGCAAACAGTGGCTGCCTGAAGCGGATGCAGCATATCCTTCCGCACATTACAATGCAGCAGAATCATTCCTGATGCTCAGATGCAAGGCGAATTTTTCATATTAGGTATAAATTGATCCAAAGGTCTGGAGCTCTAAATTTCTAAAGTTATGAAAAATGCTTAACTTACTTCAAAAATGCGTTGCAGAAGAGTCTCATCCCTAAGCTCAAACTACAAGAAAATCTAAGGCAAGAAAGAACACGTCCATGGGGAATGGCTCAGTGACACGTGTTCTCTGTACAGGCGCACATGGAAAAAGGGCTTGTTTCAGCGCCTGTCACTTCCAGCAGCGACTTCACTTCTCAACGTTGTCCGGGTTTCCTGCCAGCGTCACACGAAACAGCAGTACTTCCTCCACCAGGACTTGGACAGGGTCTTCATCTTGTCCGGAGTCCTGCTTTTGGACTTCTTTGGCTGCTGCTGAGCATCCGAGTACTGGATGGCGGCGACGATGGCTGCGTCGAAGACCTCCTTGAGGTTCTTCTGTGTCAGGGCCGAGCACTCCACGTAGCAGGCGGCTTTGATCTCCTCTGCACACAGCCTCGCCGCTTCCTCAGGCACCGGCTTCTCTCTGCATTTGTCCAGCTCAATGAGGACTTTGACGTCTTCTCGGAGATCCGACTGAGTTCCCACCAGGACGATGGGGGCTTTGGGACAGTGGCATCGGATCTCTGGCATCCATTTTTCGGTGACGTTCTGGAAGGAGGAAGGGCTGACCACGCTGAAGCACAGCAGGAAGATGTCCGTGTTGGTGTAGCAGAGGGGCCTCAGCCTGTCAAACTCGTCCTGCAACCAGTCAAAGCCCAAAGTCACTTTTTAAACCAACCTCATTGCACAAAATCCACCTTGACATTTAGCTTGAAAGGGTCTGGCAGGTAACAGAAAACCCACTGGCGATGGAAAGAAGAGCCCGCATCTTGGAAAGGATCCTGCTGCTCACCTACACGGGGCCCCTCAAAATCTGCCAAATCTGTTCGTTGTTTCCATCAGTACTCAGGCCCTACTTGTGACTTAGCACAGAAAAAGTACTTACATCAGATGGTGTTAGAAATAACGTTTACCGTAGCATTCAGGCCAGAGGAGCCCAGACTTACTTTTTCAACTCTGGTGCTTAGCTAGTGTTCTAGAATGTAGACAGCATCCACATAGATCCCCAAGCTCCAACCTGACCCAGTGACCCCAGCCATTAACACAGGTCCCCTTTTGAAGGATGCAGCCCAACCTTCCTCACACCATTGGCACTGGGCATACCCAGGGACACACAGCACACAAGCAATGCCAGTCCGACACAAGATAGACCCAGAAATCAAGTGGAGGGCCTTTGTCAGGCCACTCTGCTAAACAACTCAGACCTCCTGTGCCTCTCAATGTCATTTACAGTAGTGGTTAATACATTCATTTTTATTTGACATACTTCTTTCTCCTTGCTTTATCATCTTTTTCCCTCCTGCCTCCCCTTTTTCTTACTTCCTTTCCCCTTCTCTCTACCATTACCACAGGTCTCCATGCACAGGGCTTTGGGAAGGTAAAGAATCAGAGAAAGAGCTAGCCCCCCTACCCTTAGGTATAGAGAACTGAATGGAACAAGTTAGAGTTGCTTGCATGAACTGGCCACCAAACTGCTACAGTCACCCACTTAACAGAGACCCATTCAGGGCTGGGTGGTCGGCTGGGAACAGGAAGGCATAGCCTCAGCCCTGTACAAACGTCTCATTCCTATTTAGAACTTCTATCTGTGGGTGCCAACCACCTCAGGTGTAATGTGACAGATAATTTCCCAGTGGCAAAGAAAGTTAAATGTCATCCAGGTTTTGGGTACTCCATTGGCATGCTCCAATTATATGCAAACTATTATTTATATGCACATTATTCTGCATCCATGGCTTTTTTCTAGGACTAGAAGAAACCTGGATCTGTTTTACTGGAATGTACTCTCCTCGTTTCAGGCTCTATATTTCAGTTGTGTGGCTACAAGCACCTAACAATATAAAATGTTCAGGAATGACTATAGTATTTCAGAATGTCAATGCCCCTCGCCAGTCTTCCATAAGCAAAAGAAGGATTTAGGTTTCTTACTGCCAACCTTGTGCTGAAAAAATAAGAGACTCAAGCAGGTGGACCACGGCCAGCTCTGAAGGTCTATCAATGAAATGTTCCCTCTGTTCTCAGAGGCCTCAAAGAAAGAAGCACAAAACTGAGACCCGTATAAGGTCGGCTCCTCAGGCAGCTACACTTGGCTGTGGCCTGGAATCTGGGGTTGCATTACCAATAAAAAGGAAGGCAAGCACAGAGTCCGGGCCTTGTGACAGGGCCCCCCAGATCTCTTCAGATTCTGGCTGACTGGCTCAGGAAGCAAAGCAAATATTAGACCCTCCTGCTCATTGCTGACCAGAAACCTTGGATATTTGCTGAAATAAACGCAACACGCATACGTGCTGAGGCCTGCGGTCCACTTGCCCTTGCGGGGCTGTGAGGACAATGCAGTCCAGCTGCAGTGTGGGGCACACAGGCAGCTGGACAGTGGCATTGGTTGAGCTGCGATCTGATTTTTTATTTTTTTTTAGTATAAAGAGTTTTCCAGGTGCCTCATAGGTCAAAAGGCTGAAGAATTTTCAGCCCCTTTTTGGCAGTGTTACAATGAATACTCTTATTTCAGTGGTAGTCCGGTCTCCTATGCCAAAGGTATGTTTCTCAAAAGTCCTCAGTCTCTGATCAACTTTCACTTGAGTAAGGCTGTGAGTCCAGTGTTAAAAACTTCTTTTACAGCTTATATACTCACCTACCCTCCCTAATAAGAAAACCCAAGGCACAAGAAGCAATTTCTAGCTATTTATCCAGCCAGTTAAGCTGTATTCTTGCTCTGAGCTTCTATACGAAGCCTGACTTGGGCCCCAGGTTAGGGCTACCTTTGCACGGGTTGGAAATGGAGACAGCAGGCCATCGTGCTCAGAGGACGGGGGGGCCCTGTGAGCTGGGTCAAAACTAAGCAAACATGGCTGGAGTCAAATCAAGTCCCTTAAAAGGTATTTTACCAGCTCTGGAATAAGGAGTGTAGACAAGGACAACTCCAAGACCAGCCTTGCTAATAATTAAAACCAATACTGATTGACACTTGGGGAGCAGGAAAAAAACTAACTTTATCTTAACTTTAACTTTAATCCAGCTGTGCATTTTTCATTAATGATTTTTGAAGCTGGTTTTCTTCATATCTTTAGATAGTGGACTCATTTGTTATACAATCAGGTTCACATTACTAACCAGCACATCAGGTAAGAAATACAGTAAATCTCGATGAAAACACTTCTGGGAGGCCAGAAGAATCATTTCAAAAAAAACCAAAGCTTACAAACAGCACCAAACCCCTTTTTTCCCTAAATATAAACTTCTTTCATGAAATATTTCTAAAATGATTCTTGTGCTTCTCTGACTTTTACACAGACCATAATAAGGAAAAATTGAACTCTCCCTTGATAATTCAGGATCATTTCTACAAAGTTTTTCTGAATTATCAAGAGAGGGTTGTTTCTACAAGTCCTATTCCTCCTTCAGAACTGCTGAGGTTTTCCACCGGACCCGCCCGTCCTGCCCCTCCAGCTGGGGTCACCTTCCTATTTATGTAATATCTCTGGTGTATACCTTTCACAGGTTCTACTAGCTGGTTTGTCTTCCCTACAGACTGTAAGCATGTCAAGTGGCAAGCCTCCATGTCTTAAGTTTGCGCCCCCAAAACCTAGCACCCTGCTCATTCATCGTGATTAAGTCCTGCTATGTGCTAGATACTGTGCAAGCACCAGGAGTAAACCTCCGCCCAGGAGGAGGACACATCCCAGCAGAGCCCAGTGGCTGGCAGGGACTGGCACTGGGCTGCTCACTCTCCACTAAAGGGCCCCATTCACCTGCCTTGGTTTCTGCATCTCCCTCCCTGTCTTCTGTCTGATGCTCAGGTACTAAGCTGCCCCTCTTGCTGATTCAGCAGGAATGCCAGCATTGACTGGCATGCTACTCGGCCCTCATTTTAAAGATCAGAAAAGCTGACCCACGGTAGGAAAAATATGCTCACTTTATACAAAGCAGTTAAGCTTTAATTATAAATACCAGCATGGCATTCGGAAAGATTAAGTGTTAGGAGACCCTGTGTTCTTTGATTTTTCTTTTCTACAGGCCATCAAATACAGACTGTTTGTTTCTTTCTCCTACTAGTCAGGGGAAGCTGTGGTGCTGCAGTGGCAGGGAAAGGACAGGACAGGAGAGACTGGCTAGCCTCTCATGCCACTGTGGCCACTGCCAAACTGGCACTTAGCTGGGAAGCAAGGCTGCCCAGTCTTGTGTCACCCTGAGTTTTGAAAAATAAAGCTCTGAATTGCCTACCCCAGAATAGGTAAGCAGTAGGAAGCTCTGGCTTGGATGAGGCATTTAGGGACACTAGAAGCCAACTTCTTCTTAAAGGCAAATGGTCAGGTGACAACACCTCAGCAAGTGAAGCAAGCACTTCTGCCTGCCTACAAAGTAGCCTCCGGCCCTTTCTTTAAATCTAGCAAGTACTGACACTCCAGTACTTGTAACAAACTACACATTTATTAACTGTCATTTAAGCAAATTTGAAAGATGGATGGCACCCTCACAGAGAACATAGAGACTTAAGTGACTTGAGCACTGTACCAAGGGGACACTGGGTGATGAGCCCCTGGAGTTCGTCAAGGGAATGCTCCAAAGGGGCCTTCCACCCCATCCTCCCCCCATCACTTCCTGGTTGTTTTATCTGAGTGCCCAGCCCAGAGACAAGAATAAATGCTCAGGATTTGGAAACACTAAGTCCCACTTCATTCTTTCCTCCAGCTCAGGACGGCTCCAGCCACCGTATCTGTGCTTCAGAGAACAACAGTCACCCTAGTGAGCCAAATCACACTAAGGGACAGAATTAACACTGACTCCATCTTTTTCTTGAGTGATTTTCTTAAACATTTGCCTCATCGACCTTTAATAAAATGATTATAAGGTATTACCGACTTACTTGAGAAATGATTACAAAGCATCATTGATCATTTTTAATAAAAACCAGAAAGTAAATAAGATCAGAAACTCCTGTGAGATAAGAACTGTTCTTGACCCTATTTTCTCCAGTCCTGCCCACGCAAAGCTAGCCAAGCCCTGTTTTATTGGTGCACAGCTATCTCCCCCACCCCCGCCTCTGAAAGGGGCCTGCAGGGCTGGGCTACCCCAGGAGGCTTCAGAATGACCCAGATGGTGAGAAAGCTTATTGGAAGGCCTTTAAAAGGCTGTTTCCTTTCCCAGCACTGAGCAGTGAGGAGATACTAACCTGTCCCGCAGTGTCACAGAGCTGGAGTCTCACTGGTCGCCCATCCACCGACACCACAGCTTAAAGACAAGACCAAAATGACTGTCAGGGGGTGTCTTTTAAACTCTTTCCAAAGAGTAATGGTTTTAGCCCACACTATCATTCTAACTCCAAACCCTTCAGCTCCTGTTCTGTGTCCCCTAACAAATAAAAGACTTGAGAAAAACAAGAAGGCCCATGTGGCACTTTTGTGTACCCTCTCCAGGACTGGCAATTCTCCACTGTCAAGGATAAGGCAGCAAACCCCTGAACCATTTGATGGCACCCCAGAAAGGCTAGTACTTTCCTCCTAGCTGGGAGAATTTATTTTCCTGTCACACTAGTTTCAAAAACCCTAAAAAACAACACTGGGGGTGAGGGGGTGGGGAGGTAAATGGGAAACAACTTTGCAGCTTTAAATGAGTGGAAAACCGAACAAATAATTATTTTCCCTTGGGAAACGTTTGAGACTTCAGGGTTTATCATAAAATTGTAGCTTGTTTTGAGAACATGTGCAAATACTGGCTGCCTGCATTGTGCTGTTTATAAACGAGGGCACTGCTTATCTCTCCATGTCAGTTCAAAGAGAGGATTAAAAAAAGGAAAGGAAAGAAAGGCACGGGGACAGGGCACCTGGGGAGGGACCCTCACCAAGGCAGTTTTACTTAAATTAAGCACTCAGTTTTGTTTCAATATAACTTTCTAAATTGTTTATAAATGTTTATACTAGTCAGTTTAGACAAAAAACAAACAAACAAACGAAAAACGAAAGAAACACTGCCGTTCAGGTGGGAAACCATTCACATAGCACGGTTCTATCTAGGGCACCTCTGAATTCGGAGGAAGCAAGCCCTTGCCATCATGACTTTCTAAGAGGTCAAGAAGCTTTTTTCTTTTTCTTTTTTAAGGATGAGAGAGTGAGTGTTTCAGACTAGCTTCTGTGGATTTTAACTTTTTCCTAAATTTCCAAGAGACTTGGAAAATCAAAGTAAAGGATTCCTTTGTATCTACCAAACCAAATAACATAGCTATAACGTACCTGTAAGAGCTTTTAGTGGCTTACAGATAGTGAAAAGATACCAAGAATCAGAAACAGCCAAGGTGGGAGGTTGAAGTGGGGGCAGTGGGGCAGGGAAGGGGGACTTGGAAGAAAGAAATCGTGTTTGCTCTCCAGATTTAATCCAAACCGAAGCCTTCGCTGGTGCCACCAGTGCTATTTTCACTAAATTAACTTTTCCGACGTCTCCATGGTTCTTTAAAGTGGAGATGCCCCCTGTGAGGAGATCCGCGAGGAGAACCACCGAAAGGAAAGGACTAACACTCAGGGCCACAGGTAATGGCACCTGCGCGTCACTTTCCAAGGAAACTTGGCAGCAGCGCCAGCAATGTCGACCTGACGCAACTTCTCCACGCAGCAAACTGACCAGGCAACCTGAACTCGACCAGTTTGATCCTCGCTCACCTGATCCGAAACTGCAATCTCGTCTCTCTTTTGCTCGGGCTCTGACCACTGTAGCCACCCTCCGAAAGCTCCTCGTCCCCAAGGCTCAGGGACTGTCCTGCACTCTGCACTTGGTCCAATGCCCTGCTGGGCCCCGGGCCCAGCCAGGGTCCTGAAGCCACCTCAAGGCCCTCAAGACCCTCGCGCCACCCTCCCTCTCCTCCGCACCCTGTCCGCCCCCAGGGCCCACTCACCCGAGAAGTTGTCGAAGGCGGTGGGGATGTACTCGGTGGGGTAGCCGTTGGTAGTGTAGCTCACCACCAGGCTGGTCTTGCCCACCGCGCCGTCACCGACCAGCACGCACTTGACGCCGCGCCCCTCCGTACGGCCCGCGCGCCCTCGGCCCCCGTGCCCCCCGCGCTCCCGGCGCGGCGGCACTGGCGGTGCCTCGCAGCGGCCGGGAAACGCGGGGTCCCCCTGCTGTGGGGGCATCTGTCCGCGCCCTTGGATGTGCTGGTGCGGGCGAGCAGGGCCCAGAGCGACTGCCCCTCCGTCCCAGAGCCTCCAGGAGAGAGGTACTGTCACCGACTGCTGCGGGCGCGTCTCCGCCCCCCGAGAGCCGAGGTTCCAGGCCGCACTGCTCACAGACAAAGGCGGCCGCGGAAGGTCGTGCGCTGTGCTCCTGCGGCGCCACCTGGCTCTGCTCCGAGCGATCTGAGGACTGCGGGCCAAGCACCGTGGAGCCCGATTGCTCTGTCTCCTGTCCTCCTGGCTTTCCGGCGACTCGGCGGGGGGAAGAGGCGGGTCCAGCCGGGCGGCCAGCTCCTCGCGCCAAGACCACAGCGCCTCCCACCTGCACGCCAGGCCCCTGCACCAGCTCCTGAGGCGGTGCCACGCCGGCCTGTGGGGACCTCAGACACTGGTTCGGGGGATCCCGAACATCCGCTCCGGGGGATCCCCCACCCTGCGAACACCACTGAGAGGGGGCGGTGCCTGAATGAGCTGCGCTGTCTGTCCGCTGGCAGCTTCGTCCCCAGCGCCTGAGAGTGACACTACAGCCCAGCTGGCCTGGATGGTTCCGCCCTACAGCGCCCACGCGGACGGGGAAGCCAGGGCTTCCTGCCGTTCCTCTCGCCCCCTTGCCCCCCACCTCCCCTTCTCAGTCAGAGCCTGTGCTGTGGGGTCCCTCGCCAGCCACAGCGCTTCATCCCGGGGAAACATGAAGAGTCCCCTGGGGACATGTGGTCTAAAGGTGACTGAATAAACAGGCAGCTTTTCGTTATAAGTCCAGCTACAGCCCATCGTGTGACTTTTCTTCTGAAATGATTTATTCTCTTTTCATTTGGGCGCAAAGGGATGCCAGGTTCATTGTTAACACTCATTTGACTTTCTCTTTGGCATGCCATGAACGAGCACATTTCTTTATAGCCCCAATTCTTTCATTTCATTAAATGTAATTTGGTGGAAATATTATATGGAAAAAAAAAATCCAGTTTTCTCTGAGAACTTCCTCTCTGCCTTCTACATTTAGTCAACAGTCCATCCCGAAAACAGGGAGGCCTCTCTGAGCCTAGTCAGGACGACACAAAGGCTCCTTGTAGTTTTATGGTGAGGTGTGAGAAGAGGCACATATATTAACATAAATGCTGATACTAAAACTAATAATAAAAATTACAGTAGCTAATAAATATTAAGCTATTGTTATGTGCCAGACACAGTCGTATGCACTCTGCATAAACTAATTTCTCTATATTAACATTACTTATACCCATCCGATGGGTGTAAGATGAGAAAATCTGAGGCACCTAGCTCAGGTTCCACAAGCTGGTAAATGGCAGTGCCAGGATCCAAACCCAAACATTCCAGCTCCAGAGTCTAAGTTCTTACACAACGTCCTGAAAGCAAAGATAAGCCCTCATGATGAACTCAGACTAGGAATTATGGCCGAGGTCGGGATGTAGAGGTAGGTTTACCAGGGGGCTAGATGCTTGAATCTGAGGCCCTTTACTTGCAAAAACCCGTTCCAAAGCCCTGGGGGGTCCTTGCAACCGGAACACGTAGTTGTTTTTGTAAATTTTGAAAAATAATATATTTTAATCACCACCACTTAAATCCATTGTTTGTTTAGACTCTAACTTCCCCTCATATTGAGTGGCTTTGAAGTAACCATGGACATTTCAGGGATCAAGCCAAGGAAAGTGTAGTTGGCGAGGGATTTTATTTGGGTTTAATGGTACAGAGCCAGGACTAGGGTGAGGAAAGAGAGGTGCCAAGGGAGCAAAATAAAGGGGTCCAACTTTGCACTTGCAAGCCCCTGACAATGAGTGTCCCTTTACGTTTTGAGCCTCAGGCACCTGGCTTGCTTTTCCCTATCCCTGTCCATGGTGGGATATATTTATGTGGTTTCCAGTCCCATGTATAGTTTTGTTATTGCTAGCCATCCAGGTGTAGGAATGGCTACCTGTGACATACTTACTACCCTCTGTGCACTCACATTGGTGTCCACCCAAACTCTTCTATGTTCCCCAGCACAAGAATGGTTCCAATAGCAAAGGAATAATAGTATTTGAAATGGACAGAGCCATAAGCTAGTCTGTGGCAATTCTTTCCATCATAAAACACATAGTATTATTGTTAGAGTGGGTTAGACTGTTTCAACCACACCAGGTCAAAACAGAATTTCTTTTCTGTCAAGAATATACTCTGTGCAGCATATAAAATCATAAATATACCATATGTTTTTGGAGGAAATTGAATTGATGTTAATTCCTGTTTGTGAAGACACAAACATGTAGTAGTATCACACACAGCAAGTTTACCTGTATGTGAAATACATTTCTGTTTTTCTCATGGAAAGCACATTACAAAATTACAAAATTGAAGAAGTAGTCAAAGGGTATACAGCTAGGGGGGATTTGAGGAAATGTTCAAGGGGCACAAGATTCCGGTTATGCAAGATAAATAAGTTTTGGTGATATAATGTACAACAACGTGACAATAAACAATGTATACTTGAAATTTGCTAACAGGGAAAATCTTATGTGTTCTCATCACACATACATAATGGTAACTATGTGAGGTGATAGATATGTTAATTATCTAGGTTGGGGTGAATATTTCACCATGTATACATATATCAATCATCAAGTTATACACCTAAATATATACAACTTTAATTATCAACTAAACCTCAGTAAAGTTGGAGGGGAAAAGTGTGCAGCTAAAAAATATAGGAAAAATAGGAGGATCAAGGTGTGCCAGGCAGTTTATTAAAATGTTTTCTTGTGGATTTTTTTAAGTTTATGGTTTTACATAAATTTTATAGTTTGTTGTGATGTATTCCTCACTTTTATTCAGTATTTATTTTTATACCTAATTTTCTGTTCTTAAATTTTTATACTTTCTCTTAAAGAAGGCCCCAAAATTTGATAAGATTCAGGCCCTACAAAATCTGGCTCTACCCCTCCATCTGGCCATGTGTCATTCTATAGCCCCTGACTCTTGTTTTACCTTCTTTTTTAAATGCTGTGCCTTTTGTGTCTAAGATTGTTCCATTCACACTCATTTGAGTCCGTATTTCTAGATTCAATTTAACCAACTCCCTGCAGATTTATCTAAAAGGCCCAGAACTAATCTTCCCCTATTTATAATCATCTTCTGCAGGCCATGCAGGAAAGCTTACCCCACACTGCACTGTATGTGGTAAGTCACTCAAGTACAGAAGTACAGAGATGGCCTAGAATGGCAGAATGCTAACTGTAAGAAGCTCCTCAGGGACTTATTTTGTTCATTCCTGTACCCCACACTTGGAATCTTATGGGGCAAATAGTAGGTTACTGTTTTTATTTTTTATGCATTTATAAAATATTAGAACACATGAGTCAAATTTGACTACTTTTTGCAGCAATTAATATGAAAGACCATTTCTTTGCTCTCTTTTAATAATGCATCACCCAATAACTTCTGGTCAAGATGGCAGATAGGCAAACACTGTACTGGCCTCCTCCCATGACCACATATATATTACAGCTAAACCAAGGAACAACCATCATTGAGAACTGCCTGCAGTCTAGCTGAACAGAAGTCCTATAACTAAAGAAATACAGAAGAAGCCACATCAAGACTTGTTGGAGGGGCAAAGATGTGGAACAGGCTGGTCCCACACCCACATTTGACTATTAAAAATCAGGAGGGATATCTCAGCTGCAGGGGTCCCAGCCCCAACCAGGCTCCCTAGCCCAGGATTCCAGTGCCAGAGAGAGAAGTCCCCATACCTCTGGCTGTGAAAACCAGCAGAGACTGTGGCTGTAGACCCAGGTGCCCTTTAAAAGGGCCTGCACATGGACTCATTGCTGACAACACTCACCCTAAGCTCCAGCAAAGGGACAGCAGCTCAAAAGGCACCATGGACATATGGAAAAAAACTGAATTGTGTGGCTTCAGGAGAGGGCTGGAGGAGGAGCTTCCATTGTTCCTGTGTTGAGCCCTCCTTTCACACAGCCTGCAGATGCAGGCAGGCACCAAATCTGAATTTGCATTAACCTGGTGAACACCACTTACCCCACCTTGGTGATTCCCTGAGAACCTGCCCCACCCAACTCTCCCACTGCCCGAGCTTCTTTCAACAGCTATCCCTCAGAGGCAGCTGGCTTTGACTCATGAAAACTTTCCTGAAAACTGTCAAAGGGCCACAGGCCTTAGGCAGGCAGCAGCTGGCTTCAGCATACCTTGTGCCTCTTGCTGAGGGACCCGAGGCCCAGCACTAGTGGCAGCCAGCTTGGGTTCACAGCATAGCCTCTCCCACATACTTCTAAGCACAGCACAGGCAGCTATTAGCCATGGATCACTTTGTAACTCTTACCAGGTGGCTTGGGTCCAGCACAGTCAGCAGCTGACCTTGGCCTGCACCAGAACCCCTCCCAAGAGGGCACAGAATGAACACACCCAATGGCCAGCTTCAGACCACACCAGAGCACCACCAAATTAGCTCCACAAGCTGCACACCCAAAGGGTGGATTCAGCAGGCATCAGAACACGGCTGGGGTAAGTCCTGCTCCATGGGGTCATGCAGCAAGAGAAAAGCAATTAGTTGTCTACAAGGTAGCTCACAGAAGACTTTCAGCTGATTTCTCAACAGAAACTTTGCAGGCCAGAAGGGATTGGCACAAAATACCCAAACTGATGAAAAACAAGGACCTACAACCAAGATTACTCTACCCAGAAAGGCTATCATTTAGAATTAAAGGACAGATAAAGAGCTTTCCAGACAAGAAAAACCTGAAGAAGTTAATCACCAACAAACCAGTATTATAGGAAATGCTAAAACGAATTCCTTAAGAAAAAGAAGGGGGGATTATAAATATGAATAATAAATGGCAATAACTACATACCAATAAATAAGCACTTTAAAGGAAAGTGAATACATGCTCCAATCAAAAGACATAGGGTGGAGAGGTCCAAGGTGGTGGATTAGGTAAATGCTATGTCTATTGCATCCCAGGATCATACCAAAATTACAAATAAATTATAGATCAACCTCAAGAACCATCTGAAGACTAGCTGAACAGAATCCTCATAACTAAGGATATAAAGAAGAGGCCACATCGAGACTAATAGGAGGTGGGGAGACGTGAAATGGGCTGGCCCCAAGTCCACAGATAATGGTTGAATGCTGAGAGGGACACCTCAGTGGCAGAGGTCCCCCTTGAAAAGGGAGGGGTACCAGCCCCACACTGGGGTTTCCAGTCCAGGGGTCCTGTGCCCGAAAAGGGAGTTCCCACAACATCTGGCAGTGAAAATCAGTGAGGACTCTGTCTGTTCTCCCTGGTGGGGCAGAGGTCAGCTGGAAACCCAGACAACTTCTTGTAGAGCTGGCACATGGACTTATTCAGGCACAGGTACTCACCTGGTCTCTGGTGGAGGGATGGTAGCTCCAGAGGCTCAGGGACGTGCAGGGCAGGACTGAGTTATATGGTCTCAGGGTGGGAGCTGGAAGGACAGGAACATTTTTGTC